ATAGTTCACCTACAATCAAAGAGCATTCTGAACTCCATCAACGATGGAATTGAACCAAACTTGGCACACAGAACTCCCATGACCAACAGAAAATACTGGAAGGGTTTGGTGGGCATTGACCTTGAGTTTGGGAGTTGTAGTTCACCTACATCCAGAGAGCACTGTGGACTCAAATAATGATGGATCTGGACCAAACTTGGCACAAGCACTCAATATGCCCAAATATGAACACAGATGGAGTTTGGAGGAAATAGACCTTGACATTTGGGAGTTGTAGTCACTGGGATTCACAGTTCACCTACAATCAAAGAGCATTCTAAACCCCACGAATGACAGAATCGTGGCAAACTTCCCACACAGAACCCCCATGACCAACAGAAAATACTTAAGGCCATCCAATCCAACTCCCTTCATCAGGGCAAGAAAACATAATCAAAGTCCTCCTGACAAAGAGCCATCCAGCCATAGATAGATTAGATAGATAGATAGATAGATAGATAGATAGATAAAGAGCAATCCAGCCATAGATAGATATAGACAGATAGATAGATATGATTCACACACACACAGATATAGTATCATAGATTTGAAAGGGACCCTTAAAGAAGGACAATGATATCAACAGACTGGGCCACAGCAATGCGTGGCAGGGGACAGCTAGTATAATATAATATATTGTATATACATATAATATTTATAATATTATAATGTAATGCAATATAATACTAATAATAATATGATATTATAATTATATATTTATATTACATATAATATTACTAATAATATTACAATATAATGGTATAGTACAATATAGTAATATATCATACTGATATTGTACTATGCTAATAATATAATATATTGTATGCATATATATCTTGTGAGCAGCTTTGAGTCCCCTTCGGGGTGAGAAGGATGGTTCGGGCTAGTATGGCCATGTTCTAGAGGCAATTTTTCTCCTGACATTTCGCCTTCATCTATGGCAAGCATCCTCAGAGGTAGACCTCACTACCTCTGAGGATGCTTGCCATAGATGAAGGCGAAATGTCAGGAGAAAATGCCTCCAGAACATGGCCATATAGCCCAGAAAAACCTACAACAACCCTATGTATATATATCTTGTAAGCCACTCTGAGTCCCCAAGGGGTGAGAAGGGCGGCATATAAATGTCGTAAATAAATAAATAAATAAATGGAAATCAAAGGCTTTCATGGCCAAAATTACTGGTTTGTTGCAGGCTTTTCGGGCTGTATGGCCATGTTCTAGAAGCATTCTCTCCTGACGTTTCTCCTGCATCTGTGGCAAGCATCCTCAGAGGTTGTGAGGTTTGTGGAAACCCAATTTTCCTAGTTTCCACAAACTTCACAACCTCTGAGGATGCTTGCCACAGATGCAGGCAAATGTCAGGAGAGAATGCTTCTAGAACAGTGATTCTCGACCTCGGGTCCCCAGATGTTTTTGTCCTACAACTCCCAGAAATCCCAGACAGTTTACCAGCTGTTAGGGTTTCTGGGAGTTGAAGGCCAAAAACATCTGGGGACCCCAGGTTGAGAACCACTGTCTAGAACATGGCCATACAGTCTGAAAAACCTATAACAACCCGGAAATCAACTTGATGCCAAACAACAATACCAATGTAAACTTAACAAAACATTCCTTGAGGCCTGGAATGGCAAATTCTAAGCAATCTACATTCCCACCCAGGAGTGCAAGATGATATCTCTGTTATTAAATGATGGGGAAATTACTTGTTCATGTCCAAAACTCACTCGTTGCACACAACAATATTAACAAGACAAAGCATGTCTAAATTGGCTGAACGAATGCTTAGACTATAATTCTTCCTCTTTCAGCCTCTTTTAGCCTGCCTCTCTGACACTTCCCACTCCTTATTTCTCCTTGCAATACCCAGTTTTAATCTCTGATCTCCTTTTCTAGGCTGTACTCCACCCTGCCCACTGGACTTGGCCTCTGTCCAGCATTCCCTGCTTTAAGAGCTGGATTTAACTCGTGCCTCCATGGATTTCAATCTTCTCTTTCTATCCTTCCCTTCCCCACACAAGCTTGTTGACAGACCAAGCCATTTTCCCAGCATGCGTTCTAGCCAAACTTTGGCACAGTCCCAACCTGAGTCCCTGGATACATCTACACTGTAAATTAATGCACTTTCCATGGCTCAATACTACAGAACCTTGGGAGTTGTTGTTTTCCAAAGCCTATATAGCCTTCTTTGCCAAAGAGTGCCGGTGCCCTACCAAACTCCATACTCTTACAAATTTAAACACCCATTTGGATGATTTGGGAGCATTTTAAATTGCAAATAAATAATACTAAATCTGTACTCCAAAATCCAAAATTGTTTACATGGTATAAAATCACCTCCAGGCTATATATCAGGCATGGGCAAACTACTGGCTGTTGGGAATTGTGGGAGTTGGAGTCCAAAACACCTGGAGGGCCAAAGTTTACCCATGCCTGCTCTCTCTCTCTATATGTGTGTGTGTGTGTGTGTATATATTGTGGATATGAAACATAAATTACTTTCATGTTCAGACTTGGATCCCATCTCCAAGACATCTCATAATGTACCTAGTCAATTTTAAACTACAAATTTATATTCACATTTGATTGGTGCAAACAATGATTGTGTGTTTTAATCAATGTTATATGTTTTAATACGTATATTAAATATTTTAATATGGTATAGGAGCCCTCGGTGGTGCAGTGGGTTAAACCGCTGAGCTGCTGAACTTGCTGACTGAAAAGGTCATCAATTTGAATCCGGGGAGTGGGGTGAGCTCCTGCTGTTAGCCCCAGCTTCTGCCCAACTAACAGTTTGAAAACATGTAAATAAAAATGTAATGTTTGTTTGTGGGATTAACGGAACTCAAAAACCACTGGGGGCAAACATGCAAATGTAAGTAGATCAATAGGTATCACTCAGGTGGGAAGGTAACAGCACTCTATGCAGTCATGCCAGCCACATGACCTTGAAGGTGTCTAAGGATAACACCAGCTCTTTGGCTTAGAAATGGCACCAACCCCCAGAGTCTGAAACAACTGGACTTAATTTCAGAGGAAAACCTTTACCTTTACTATATATTATTTTATTCAACTATATTATTATACCACAATATGGAACCCCTGGTGGCGCAATGGGTTAAACCCTTGTTCTGGCAGGACTGAAGACCGACAGGTCGGAGATTTGAAGCCAGGGAGAGAGAGGATGAGCTCACTCTGTCAGCTCCAGCTCCCCATTTCAGGACATAAGAGAAGCTTCCCACAAGGATAACTATAAAAACGTCTCCTGGGCAACGTCCTTGCAGACAGCCAATTCTCTCACACCAGAAGCAACTTGCAGTTTCTCAAGTTACTCCTGACCCCACAATATATATAATACACTACCACTACATTATAGTATTAGTATTATATAATATATTGTACCGTATCAAGTCAATACAGAGTTTATGGTTTGGCAAAGTTTGGGTATTGTATTAATTAGGACTATTTTAGATAGTAACTCTCGAGCAATCAGAAACTACATTGATCCAGCATCTAATAATAATAATAATAATAATAATAATAATAATAATAATAAACTTTGGATTGTTGTAAGTTTTTTTGGGCTATATGGCCATGTTCTAGAGCAGTTGTTCTCAACCTGGGGTCCCCAGATGTTTTTGGCCTACAACTCCCAGAAATCCCAGCCAGTTTACTGGCTGTTAGGATTTCTGGGAGCTGAAGGCCAAAACCTGGGGACCCCAGGTTGAGAACCACTGTTCTAGAGGCATTCTCTCCTGAAGTTTCACCTGCATCTATGGCAAGCATCCTCAGAGGCAGGATACCTCTGAGGATGCTTGCCATAGATGCAGGCGAAACATCAGGAGAGAATGCCTCTAGAACATGGCCATATAGCCCGAAAAAAAATTACAACAACCCAGTGATTCCAGCCATGAAAGACTTTGACAAAATAAACTTTATTTATACCCCGCCACCATCTCCCCAAAGGGAACTCAGGGCGACCAACATGAGGCCAAGCCCAAAAATACAATACAGCAAACAAAATGCAAACAAATAATTACATACAGTAGCAAAATAAAATAAATAAAGCAAATTAACACATTATAAAATCAAACAGAATGGGCAGGCCACATGAACGAGGTAAAATGATAAAACCCTGGATGAGGTAGGAAAGAAAATATATAATTGAGGGGAGCCCAAAAAGAATAAACAATAACAAATATAAATAAAAAGAATAATCTACTAATTCCATGGGTGTCTGCTTGTCAACTGAGAATCATAGAATCATAGAATCAAAGAGTTGGAAGAGACCTCATGGGCCATCTAGTCCAACTCCTGCCAAGAAGCAGGAACATTACACTCAAATCACCCCTGACAGATGGCCATCCAGCCCCTGTTTAAAAGCTTCCAAAGAAGGAGCCTCCACCACACTCCAGGGCAGAGAGTTCCACTGCTGAACGGCTCTCACAGTCAGGAAGTTCTTCCTAATGTTCAGATGGAATCTCCTCTCTTGTAGTTTGAAGCCATTGTTTTGCATCCTAGTCTCCAGGGAAGCAGAAAACAAGCTTGCTCCCTCCTCCCTGTGGCTTCCTCTCACATATTTATATCATTTCTCCTCTCAGCCTTCTCTTCTTCAGGCTAAACATGCCCAGCTCCTTAAGCCGCTCCTCATAGGGCTTGTTCTCCAGACCCTTGATCATTTTAGTCGCCCTCCTGTATTGTGTCAACTGTATTGTGTAGATATATACAAATTCCAAATCATTATGTACTTCTATGCAAACTCAAAAAGACTGCTAACACCAAGCACTTTGCTTAAGGGATACTCCACTTGTACTCCACTGATTCACCTAACAAACTTTGTTTCCCCCCTCATCCATGGCCCCTTCCCTTTCCCTTTAAGCAGGAAAGAGCTAAGAGGAGAAGAACAACAACACATCAATCCAAACATAACTCTCTTTTCGAGCCCGAACCCGGAAACTCACGCCTGCTCAAGGTCTTCCTCCATGGCTCCTCAAGAAGGAATACATCACAACAGCTGTTTGGGAAAGGCGGGGTTAGAAGAGGAAAGGGGCGGGGTTAGAACGCGGGGGCGGGGCGGAGCTGCCGGGAAAGGGGCGGGGCCCGCATTTTATGAATTGGGGGAGGCTGGGCTGGGAAAGGCCGGTTGTGTAACCTTCCTGCGGGGTTACATAAGGGGAGAGGAGGAGGAGGAGGGAACCTCTGAAAGAGAGAGAGGGCCTCCCCGCTCCAGACTCCCTCCTCCAGCTGGGATTGGAGGGAAAGAGAGAGAGAGGAAGGAGGGGCTCTTCTCTCCCTCCCACCCTCCCTGATGTGGGCGGAGCATCACAAAGAGGGGAGGAGCCAGCCCTGGGTGATTGATGGCTGCAAGGAAAGGGCAGGGATGGATTGCAACAGGTGCTCCAGGAAAAGTTTCCTTTGGACTCCCATTTCCTAGAATCCACCTCCCATCAGGTTTCCTTTGCGTGGAACCACATATTCCATACTCCACAGCCAGCTGGCCCCAAGGAATTTTTGCAAGTAGTTTGCAAAAGTTTAGTATCCTCCTATCAAGGATATTTCTGAGAGATAAAAACATCTAGCTCAGCGTTTCTCAACCTGGGGGTCGGCACCCCTGAGGGGGTCGCGAGGGGGTGTCAGAGGGGCACCAAAGACCATCAGAAAACAGTATTTTCTGTTGGTCATGGGGGATCTGTGTGTGAAGTTTGGCCCAATTCTATTGTTAATGGGGTTCAGAATGGTCTTTGATTGTAGGCAGAGGCGGCCCTAGGTAATTTTCAACGGTAAGCAAAGTACTTTGGCGCCCCCCCCCTCAACCAATCATTCATATATATATTCTGTTCGTCGTGGGAGTTCTGTGTGCCATATTTGGTTCAACTCCATCACTGGTGGAGTTCAGAATGCTCTTTGATTGTAGGTGAACTATACATCCCAGTAACTACACTTGCCGCATTTGCTCCCTTGCCTGGCCCGCTTTGGGTCTGGAGGCGTGCCTGAAGACCCCGGCGTGTGCACCAAAAGTCACCTCTTCTCCTGACTTTCTCCTCAGCCATTGGGACCGAGAGAGAGAGAGAGAGGTGGAGATGCCCACCTTTCCTGAAGGTAGGCGCAAAAACAAAGGAGGGAGCGGAGGTGGGAGATACCTCCAGCTGGAGGGGTCTCTCTCTCTCTCTCTCTCTCTTGGTCCCAATGGCTGAAGAGAAAGTCAGGAGAAGAAGCGACTTTTGGTGCGCACGCTGGGGTCTTCAGACGCGCCTCTGGGGCCAGGCGCAGCGGCTCCACACCTTGGCCCACCCGCGGATTGGGGAGAGGAGAGGAGGCGGGTGGAGCGCGGGGGATCGGGAAAGGGAGCCGGTCATGGGGAAGGGATCGAACGCAGAGAACGATTGAGCGCCGGCTCTGCTCGCGCACCCGGTGGCCGGGTGGAGCAGGAACAAGAGGGGCTAGGTGAGGCTCAAGGGCCCGGCCCCTTTGGGAAGAGGATCGCCCGGCAGCGAGGCAAGAAAGCCGAGGCTCCCCCCGGACTGCTAGGGCTGTTGTGAGCTGAGGGGGCGCTCCTCAAGTGGCGGTCGAGGGGCATTTACAGAGGCGCCTTTGCGCCCCTGGCAAAAAAAAGTTTTCTGCGACCGCTTACTTCGTGTAATGGACGAGCTGCCCCTGATTGTAGGTGAACTCTAAATCCCAGCAACTACAAGTCCCAAATGTCAAGGTGTATTTTTCCCAAACTCCATCTTGGTTCATATTTGGGCATATGGAGTGCTTGTGCCAAGTTTGTTCCAGAACCATTGAGTCTACAGTGCTCTCTGGATGTAGATGAACTACAACTCCAAAACTCAAGGTCAATGCCCATAATAAAAACTCTTCAAGTATTTTATGTTGGTCATGTTCTGTGTGCCAAGACTGGTTCAATTCCATCATTGGTGGAGTTCAGAATGCTCTTTGATGGTAGGTGAACTATAAATCCCAGCAACTACAACTCCCAAATGACAAAAACAATCCCCAACCCCACCAGTATTCAAATTTGGGCGTATCTGGTATTTATGCCAAATTTGGTCCAGTGAATGAAAATACATCCTGCATCTCAGATATTTACATAACAATTCATAACAGTAACAAAATTACAGTTTTGAAGTAGCAACAAAAATAATGTTATGGTTGGGAGTCACCACAACATGAGGAATTGTATTAAGGGGTCGCGGCATTAGGAAGGTTGGGAAACACTGATCTAGCTAGAGTAAGCAGGTAAGAGTCTGACCATAGGTTAAAAATTAAAGTTATTTCCACATAAATAACAGTAGATTCCCCACGTAATCTCTCAGATCGACGTACTCTATTTTGGGTTGTTGTAGGTTTTTTCAGGCTATATGGCCATGTTCTAGAGGCATTCTCTCCTGACGTTTCGCCTGCATCTATGGCAAGCATCCTCAGAGGTAGTGAGGTCTGTTGGAAACTAGGAAAATGGGTTTATATATCTGTGGAATGACCAGGGTGGGACAAAGGACTCTTGTCTGCTGGAGCTAGGTGTGAATGTTTCAACTGACCACCTTGATTAGCATTTGATAGCCTGGAAGTGCCTGGAGCAATCTTTTGTTGAGAGGTGATTACAACCACCATGTCAGGCTACACAGAGAAGCCATTGAAATCCACAAGCATATGGACAATTTCAACAGAAAGGAAGAAACCATGAAAATGAACAAAATCTGGCTACCAGTAGTAAAAAAAACTCTAAAATTAAAACAGCAAAACAGCAGAGGGAAAACAATCAGGGACATCTAATCAGACCCACACTTCCCACTGAAATTCTAATAAGTTTATATTTGTTAAAATTGTTCTTCATTTTGATTATTGTATTGTTTTTAAGTGTTTTTTTGAACTACAAATAAAATATGTGCAGTGTGCATAGGAATTAATTCATTTTTTTTCAAATTATAATCTGGCCCTCCAACAGTTTAAGGGACTGTGTCCTGGCCCTGTGTTTAAAAAGTTTGAGGACCCCTGCTCTAGCCGGTATTGCACCACCTGACATCCACCAGGAAGTAGCAGCCATTAATAAAAGGCAGTGACATCTCTGGCCCATCCCGTTCAGATATCAACCAGCAAGCCAACGCCTTAAATCAAGAAATAGTTTTCTAAGATCGACAGAGATTCTCGCAGGAATACCTCAGCAAGCGAGAGTCCAAAAGTGGCAGGCTCAAAACCAGAACCTCAATCCATGGCTGATACCAAATGAGAGACTCCCCCCTGGGCACACAGAAGACTGGGCAACTGGGAAGGCGCTGAACAGACTGCGCTCTGGCACCACGAGATGCAGAGCCAAACTTCAGAAATGGGGCTACAAAGTGGAGTCCACGACATGCGAGTGTGGAGAACAGCAGACCATAGGCTGTTCTGGAACAGCTGTTCCAGAAGCTCCAGATTTATTTGCTGTGTTTGAGTGTTTGTTGCAATCCCAGGCTTGGGATTTTGCAGCAGGGTGGCTTCCTGTTATAGTTTGCAATCATAGGGCAAGCCACCTGTCAATTATAGTTAGGTTCCCTGGTCCCGCCCCTTTTTGAGTTTTGGAGGGAATAGGAGCCTTTTTGAGTCAGTTCTCACAGAGAAGCCTTTCGCAGGACATAAAACGAAGAGCTCCTGTAGAAAGCTTCGTCTTCTACGGCTTGGCCGGGGAGATATTCAGCCTACAGCCTACAGCTTGGCCGGGGAGAAAAGGCCCCACAGCTTGGCTGAGGGACTTCAGCCGGCCATCACAGCAACCTGAACTCCTTCTTTTTCCCTGGAGGTCTACAAAGCTCTGTTGGGGCAAGGGTCGCTCGTGGAAGCCAGACGCAGTTGGTACCGGGTGCAGGGGCTCCACGCCAACAGAGGCAAGTACAGACTGCCCAGATTAGAAGTTAAGGATTTCCCCATTAGTTAATTACAGTTAAGAAGATAGTGCCTGTTCCCAGTGAACAAGATTGCAAGAGCCAATAGACTGTTAAGAAAGCTTGAAAGTACCTGTTTGTTTTCATCAATAAAGAACTTTGTTGGATTTACTTTAAGCATTCTAAAGACTCTGTTTGGGGGAATCTGAGGCAGCACCGGCGTCCCGTTGGGCACACAAAATTTATGTCCTGTCTACAGTCATGTGCACACGTCCAGCGTGCAACAGCACATAGACCACCTACTGCAATGCAACCTGAACCCTGCATCATGCACAATGGAGGACCTTCTTGCAGCAACACCAGAGGCACTCCAAGGACATTTAATTGAATGCCAAGTTTTTAAACTTTGTTTTTTCTCAAATACATTGGTTCACTCCTAATATGATAAATAAATTCTTTCTCTAAAAACTGGCTGTGAGACACACCAAGAGGCATCTAAGTAGAGCAGCCATGCATCATCATCATGCACAACCATCATCATTATTAATCTGCATCACCTCACACCATTCCAACTCAATGTTCAGGTCTGTTAGAAAGTATTAGTCAAGGAGTATTTCTGATCTCTTTCCACCACCTCCCTTGATGACTGTGCATTTCAGGAGATTGGAAGGAACAGGCAAGGCATATTTTAAGCTCTGCAAAAAAGATCAGAGTACATGGGTGGCCAAAGCAGGAGTGCACAGGCAGCACTGTAGAAAGGTTAAAAATCTGTGCTGTTCTAATAAGCAAAAGTTTTTTTTAATGAAAACCTTTCTTTACCTGATAGCTGGAAACAGAATGTTCTCAGCAAGTATGCACAATTATTTACTTTTTATTTATATATATATATATTTAAAAATATTACTTTCAATTTAAAATATTTATGATCATTTGTCATATTTGTTTATCAAGTAGCCACCTGATTGAGTTTGGGGTGGGAGGCGCTGAACACGTATGCGCACTGACTTCTCTTTCATAGGCAGCAAAGGAGTTAAAAACAAAGGCGAGCAGTCCTAAGTGCGCATGCGGAGTTTTTGCAACCAAGCACTGGAACAAACGAAAGGCGCATGCGTAAGGATGACTGTACTACGCATGCGCCATACAACCCTTTCCACAGCATCTTGATTCTGTGCCAGCGCGTCACGCTTATTGCGCAGGCGGCGTTTTTGCAACCAAGCATTGAAACAAACGAAAGGCGCATGCGTAAGGATGACTTACTACGCATGCGCCACACTGCCCCTTCAACATGCTTATTGCGCAGGCGCTTCATCGCGC